GAGGATCATTTCAGGCATCTGCTGGTGGTTTCCCTTTAACCACCGGGTTTGTCGAGTCTTTCGAATTTTGCCCTTCCTCAGGGCCCGTCTCCGAGGGCGACGGCCTATGCACCCCGTACAAAGCTAGGTTCCCCATATCTGGATCCTCGCGAGCTAAGGACACGTGCTTGTGTATAGTACACCCTCTGAAAAGGCTGTGTTCGATCTTCTTTTTTACTCCGAGTGCCTTGGTAATTCGTTGAGTGATCTTCCTTGGCGGTTTGGGCATCCCCTAGGCCCGCCTCTCGGCCCATTCTGCATACTAGGCTTCGGCCCAACCAAAAACTCCTTTAGGGGAGAAATAATATCAGCCTCATCTATCTAGGCTTTGAGGCCGCCCAAAGACATCTGAACTAGGCCATTGAAATCATTAGGCCCATCTCTCTTCTTCTCCCCTCCACTCCCCGACGCCTTGGATTTCACCTCCGGTGCTCAAGCCACCGCCTTCCCAGGGTTTCGACGAGGGGAGACCACCACCTCCGGCTCCTTCTCCACCGGTTTCAACCTCGGGACGATCCCATCTACACGCTCCCAGACGCGAACCTGTTCATTAGTCGGATTGACAATCGCCGCCTCCTCCTCCGACCTTTTATACCACCCAGCCCTGCCTCCGTCCGTCATCTTCTCCGGCTGCTGCTCCTCTCAGCGCCTCTTCGCCGAAGCTCCCACTGCTGCCGGATTCTCCTCGCTCTTATCGAACACCTTCTTTACCCATTCCTTCGTAGAGGATTTCTCAGCCTTCCTTTCTTCAGCCGGCTCTCGAGCCTCTCGTAATTCCGAAAGCAAGTCTCTTCTCACCGATTTCTTCTTAGATGTAGAGGCCATATCCATCAATTTAGGATCCTCCTTTCTCGTATTTCTGTCATAGTGTTGTTCCGGTTTGGCTGTCTATGCTCTCGGAGCTTTTCTCCTCCGTCGGTCTTCCTCCGCATCTCGGCGCTGGTTCAAGTCCCTGTGAGAGTCTCGTTGCTGCTTCTGGGCTCCAACTCGCTCAGGGCATACCCGAGTGTCATGGGACAGCCTTTGACATCTCTTGCAAAAGTTTTGGATCTTCAAATACTCAAATCGAATCACAATAAGTTCTCCAGTATCGGAGACTGTCTCCCTCCGTCGGATCAACGGAGCATCACATTCCACCATCACCCGAACCAATGGGTATGGTTCAATAACCTTCCAATCCATCAACTCTCCGAGATCTTTACCAATGCTCTTCACTGTTCTTTCATCACAGTTGATCCGGAAGATCTCTGATTTCGACCCAGAACGGGATTGAGACCGGGAAGTCTGGCCGCACTGTTGGAACCCATCTTTCAATGGCGTTCATCCACCCATCAGAGTGATATGGCCGATTCTCCATCACGTATTGCAGATCGGATTCCTCCTTGAAACGAAAGTGAAACTTCCCACTTCCCATCTCCACGCCTTGAACACGACCCTCACACTTCCACACCGATGGTAAAAAGGCGATCAAAGCCTTCACCCTATGCTCCTGAGCCTCCAGATTGAGAACACGCCCCACTAATGTTTTTTTACTTCTTCATCACGAGTTCTTTGTCAATTGGGGGAAGTTGCAGAGGAGCAGGGTTCTTCCTCTCGTGTTCAGAACCGATCAATTTGACGAAGAAAGCCATCGGAAATAATAAAATCGCAAGCCGCTATAGAAATTGCCGGAAAGGATTGAGATTTCTGTGAGTGACCAAGGTAGGAGTAACTCCCGATTATAAACCGAATGAAATCCCTTAATCACCGTATCCAATCCAATCTGATTGATTCCCTCATATTGATTATCTTTGATGAGGAAGATACCAAAACCAGAACAATCAGATCTCGGATTTGGTTTCTGCTATAACTGGTCCGCGTAAACAAAGGAAGCTCTGCCCACCCTGCTCTCTGTTTCCTTATTCAATCGACGGCGTACCGTATTGAATAGAGAATCCGAACCGGATCCGACAGTGTCGAAACTGCGATCTGCAACCGAGTTAATCGACCCCGAAAGCTTGAGAACAAGCTCACCAAGAAGGAAAGACGCAACATCGGGGAGATGCCGAAGGTATTGCGGCTGATCTCCGGCTTGCTTCCATGCCCGGAGAAGCGAGCGCTGGCGTAACATCGATTTTCAAATTCAAAAAGAAGACGTTACCATCACCTCAGCGAATGGGTATGTATTTTATTTACTGATACATGTTTCAAGGTTCTCTTGCATATTTTTATAGTAAGCTGTTCTTTTCCTCTTTTTAGGTGGAGGATTTGAGGATCCATCCTAGACTCTTGAGTTCAACCTACCATTCATATATACTTTGAAATCTACACATGTGATTAAAAAAAGAAATTAAATAGTCTAGAAAAGGAAAAACCAAACAAAAAATTAATTAAGGACCGAAAATGACACGAAAGAAAATTGTGGTGTAGTGAGTGAGATATCCTGACCAATAAAAATTTCAAATGCGCCTAAGTCATG